CAGAAAGTGGGCATGACAATGTCCCTTTCCTGCTTAAAAAAAGTCCTCACTGGCCATAGCACTGTCTTTTATGGTTGTCTCGAGTGGCAAGGGAAACAAAAGCAAAAATAAGTAAATGAGACTACAATAAACTAAAAAGTTTCTACAGTGAAAGAAACCATCAAAAGGAAAAGCAGCTTATGGAAGAAGATATTTACAAATCCTATCTGACACGTGGTTGATATCCAATATATATGAAGAACTCATACAAATCAACAAAAAACCTGATTAAAAATGGGCAAAAAATTTGAATAGACTTTTTTTAAGGTTTGTGTGTATTTTTAATCAGCTGAAAACATTTAATGTAAACCAAACACTGCTCCGCCTCCACCTTAGCTGTGAGTTCTTGCTTCCACATATGATGAGCTCCCCTTGTTTTCTGTTTCAACGGATGTTTTCAACACGTTTGCATTGGACCTGGTCTTGTGGGGTGGGGAGGGGGTGGGGGGAAGGAGGGAATTAGACAGACGAGGGAGGGGGGGGAGTGGACAGACATGGGGAGGGGGCGACACACAGGAAGAGCGAACAAGACTGAATTACACCATTGGGGAGCAGTGGTCAAGGGGTAGAGGCCCCCTGCACCTTACGTGGGTTGGCTCCCTGGGCCTGGTATCGAACTCAGGCAGCAGCGGTAGCACCACGGCACTGAGCCTTAACCCGCTAGGGCGCTGGGGAGGCCCTTCTCACTTTCTGGATTTAAGGCTACTAGTACTTCTCCGGAGGGAGCATCTGCTTTGGCAATGGTGCGCTGATGTAAGCGCTTAAACTCGGCATCAGCAGGTGTAGCCCATGTCCTGAGAGGGCCGTCAGGGGTAAACCACGCGGTCTGGCATCTGCTCATTGGGAGCCTGCACTCAAGTGGGCCTCAAGTTTACAGTCAGCGTGGCCGCTAAGCGCTGCCAGCAGGTGCTAACGAGCACGGCGGCTCCCGCCTGGGGGTGCCGACTCGCGTGCGTAGCCAGGAACGGCCGGGCAGGGCCCGGAGGCGAGCGTGGACGCCTGCTCTGGCGTAGTCCGTCCGGGGCATGGCTTTCTCATGCTTGACCTCTAGGCTGTGGAGACGGTGAACTCTGCCGAGCATCTTCTGAGAGTTCACACCTGACCTGTAGTTCCTGGGTCCGTACCTCACTGCTGTTCTGACGTAGATTTAAAGATACAATGTGATGGTTCTCTTTTTCCCAAAAACACCTTTTGGTTGGTTTGGTCTGGCGCCCGCCCCGGCGGCCTCGCGTGGTCGGCGGGCAGGGCCTCCGCGGGGCGCGGGCTGGACCAGACGGCCCCGGGCCCCGCCACAGGCCCCCTGAATAGACATTTTCAAGAAGGTATACAGATGGCCAACAGGGACATAAAAAGATAGTTCTCATCACTTATTAGGGAAATGAAAACAAAACCATGAGATACCACCTCCTGCTTGTAAAAACTAAAACAAAAGAAACAAGTGCTGGCAAGGATGTAGACAAGGGCCTCCCCAGTGGCGCAGCGGGTTGAGCGCCGCACTGTGAAGCTGTCTGCAGCCTCTGCAGCACGGGTTTGATTCCCAGCCAGCCAGGGAGAAACCCACATGGCGTGGCAGACCTCTCCTCCCTCACCCACTGCTCCCCTCAGCAGTGTCTTTGGTCCGTCTGCCTGTTCTGTTCCCTGCTCTGTCTGTGGTGAATTCTCTCACCCTCCCATGCCTCTGACTGTACCCCAGTTCTTATATAAATCTTTGGGGAAAAAAGGATGTAGACAAAAGGGAACCCTTGTAAATTAGTGGGGCTATAAGCAGGTACAGCCACGATGGAAAACAGTATAGGAGGTTCCTTTAAAAGTAAGACTAGAAATTCAATGGGATCCAGCTTTTCTGCTTCTGTGTATTTATTTGAAGAACAAAGGACACTTATCTGAAAAGATGGATACACCCCTATGTTTGTTGCAGTGTTATTTTCAATAGCCAAGATTTGGAAACATCTAAAATACTCATTGACAGATGGATCATTGACAATGGATAAAGTAGATGTAGTATATATATGTGCAATGGAATACTGCTTAGCTATTAAAAAAAATAAATCTTGCTGTTTGCAATTACATGGATGGGCCTTGAAGGTACTATGCTAAGTGAAATAAGTCACATGAATAAAGGTAAATACCTTATGATTTCAATAAAACAATGAGCAAACAAATGCTTCGACTCTTGAGGACAAAATGGTGGTGACCAAAAAGGAAGGAGGGAGGGTGGCAGTGCAAAGTTACACAAAAGGGGTCAGCTGTATGCTGGAGGATGGAACTGGGCTTGTGGTGGCCATCGTATGTAGTATATATATATATATTGATGTATTAGAACACTGTATCCCTGAAATCTATATATTATAAGCCAATTTTTGCAGCTTTTATTTTTATTATTTTAATTTTATATATATTTTTACATCATTTTTCATTTTTGCAAAATGTATGCATTTTCATCTTGGTTATAGTCCCCATACAATTTCCACCCCCCCTTGTTTTGATCCTACTCTCTACCCCTCCCCCCGCCCCTCGTAGTGTCTCTGGTTAATAGTTGCTTGTTGTTATAAGCCAATTTTACTTCAGTCTTTTTAAAGGTATCAATGGCTGCTGGCCTAAATAGTAATAAACATCTAACTGATGAGAGACATTTTATAGTTACATTACATGGCTTACTCAACCCCCTTCAGGAGAGTAGAATACCCACCTCTGAAGTCAGAAAGACCTGGCCTTGAATCCCAGCTTTGTGACCATGGACCAATTCATCTTTACCTCTAAGCCTCAGCTTCCTCTTAAGTTTGTACTTACCATGAAGGACTGCTACAAGAATTAAATGAAACAGTATAAATCAAGTACCAATCCCAAAGTAGGCTCCTCTCACTGGTGCTTAACCCTGTAGGGCAACCTGAGGGATAGGTCACTTGCCATATTTGTCACTAAAACTCATTAGTTATATATCTCATGGTCCTTCACAGAACTCTGTTATGCCTTCCACAATGAGACCTCTCTGTAAGGAAGTTTAACCCCACAGGAAAGAACCGAGCAATTTCCCTATACCCTGCCCAGCTGGACAGGGCCATACTCTTCCTGCACTATCACAGCCCTGAACCAATAGAGTTGAAGGGAACCCAGCTCGGGAACTGTGTTCCTTTTCTCAGATTATCCTCTTTTTGTCCCTCATATTTTTCTGTTCTCATTCTTATGGGTGAAACAGGACTTGTCAGCAGAGCTCTCCAGTGCCCACGGCACTTTCCAGGAGACCCAGACTAAAATAGACCTGTGCCAGTCCTCCATGGGGCAAGGACTTTATCCACCTGGTTCAATGCCCTTTCTTCACTGACCTAGTTTATTGGCTGACACATAGTTGTACTTATTCAGTATTGGACAGAAACCTGATTCAGGATGATTTATTCTCTGGGATTTGTCAGGTAATTCATATTTAATTGAAAGACTGAAAAATGCATTTAGAGTTGGACTAGATATCAGACCAGTGGTTCTAAACCTTAACTGCTGTAATCACCAGGATAGTTTTTGTTTTAACAGTGACTTCTGGGTTATACCCCTGCTGATGCCCTGTGTTTTCTAAAAGCTTCTCCACGTGATTCTAGTACAGCCCAGGTTAGGATCCACCATGTTAAACCATTCCAAAATATGTACCCCATGGTTAACTATACAACATGGAGACTAAAAATGATGAGCTATCAGTTTAGGTATCATCCTCTCACTTGATTTTATGCTTTAACTCAGATACAGGGACTCTCTTACTCATAATTATCTTTCTGCTGTCTGACACAGTATTTGGCATTTTTTTTTTTTTAATTTTCTAGAGGCATGTCTTATTTATTTATTTATTTGTTTGTTTGTTTGTTTGTTTGTTTGTTTGTTTGTTTGGTTTATACATGCACTGGGTACAGTCAGAAGCGCGGGAGGGTGAGAGAATTCACCAGAGCCAGAGCGGGGAGCAGAGCAGGCAGAAGGACCGAAGTACACTGCTGAGGGGAGCAGCGGGTGGCAGGAGAGGTCTGCGCGCCATGTGGGACCCTCCTCCGGTGGCCGGGGATCAGCCGGGGATCAAACCGGCACCGCAGTGGCCGCGGGCAGCTTCGCAACCCAGCGCTTAACCGCTGCGCCACCGGGGAGGCCCAGTATTTGGCATGTTAATGTAACTAATTGGTTTCTTCAGGACACAAGACAGCGTCATAGTAGCATATAAGTCAGACAGAATGCCAGCATGAGTTTTGCATGTATGTGTGTTGTTTTCTAACCATCTACACCTTGTACCTGTCTGCTTGTACATACACTGTTTTTTCTCTGTTCCTTCACTGTCATATATTCAGGTACAGTGAAATGACAGTAGCCAAAGATACTAGACTTTCAGGGAATCACAATTTAAATATTCCATCTCATTGTTCCTGTCGGTACTTGGTTCTCAAACTTATCATGATGCATGTAAGAAGAGAGTTCATTAATGTTGTGTTCAATGCTGCTGTCCTCATTCATGGAAACCAGAGGAGTCTCTAGACAGACACACGGCTGCTACTGCAATTAATTCTTAGCTCCAAGATCTGTTCATTTAGAGAAAGAATAACGAAGCTGGAAGGGTATTTAGAGACAAAGTTAAATCACTTTCATTCAATGGTGAATAAGCTGAAGCCAGTTAGGTTTTGGGGACTTGCCTGAGAGGACACAGCTGGCACAAGAAACCTGACTCTCTGGGCCTCAGATCTGGGACAGTCTGTGGTGCTCCTCGCACCTTGGATTACATGAGAAGTCAAAGGTTGAACATTTGCTCTATGTTAGTGTCTATGTCAAGACAAAGATGTGGTGGGAAAAAGATACTACAGGTTTCTCAGGGCATAGGGACAAGTAGGTGGGAAGGAGAGAATGCAGAGAAAGGGGATTCTTGAGACTGAAACTTATGAGAAAAAGTAAGTCATGGCAGCACCGTGGTTCATTATTATTTCTGTCCTTGTTTCCAGAATTTTTCCCAGAGAATACCTCCTTCAACAAATCCACCTATATTCCCTTGCCGATCTGCAACAGGTAAGCACTCAGAGGGGCCTTTCATTTCTGTTTTCTCCCTAGGGAAAGTCTCTTTGTTAATTATGATCTTGGCACTGAATTCTGCCATCATTTGAGGTAGTTCTCTTCACAAGCCCTAATAATTAGTGAATTTCTATCAGAAACAATAGACCAAACAACCTAACAGTTCCACTCCTGGGTATATACCCAAAAGAATGAAAAACATGTTCCCAGAGAAATTTGTACACAATTGTTCAGACTACCATTATTTATAACAACCACAATATGGAAACAGCCCAGATGGCCATCTGCTAGGGAATGGTGAGCAAACTGTTGCCTATGCACATAATGGAATATTATTTAACCATTAAAAACTGATAGCACTGCGGGAAGAAGGAACCATGAAAAGATCGTGCTGAAAGAAATCAGAGGGGAAAAATCACATTTTATGTTTCTGTTTAAATGAAATGTACAGAATAGGTGAACCCATGAGACAAAGTAGATGAGGGGGTGCCGGGACTGGAGCCAGTAGGGAATTAGGTGACTGCTAGTGGTCAGGGTTTCTTTGGGGGATGAGGAGAATGTTCTGGAGTTAGAAAATGGTGATGGTCACATGACTTTGTGAAACACTGAAACCCTCTAAATTGTATAATTTAAAAAAGTAAGTTTTATGATAGGTGAATTATATCTCAATAAAAAAATTGTACAAGGAAAGATGTTAAAGGGCATTGGATTTCTGCCTTTGAAGCTTTCTGACTTGTGCCTGAGCCAAACAGTTGGATGACTTATAAGAGTCAAAAATGATCTTTTTCAATTTTTATTAGTGCATGTCCTTTTAATGGTTGACCAAATTAGCAGCCAGGAAGAAAACTGACAGTTTTGTCTGTTCAGCCTTAAGTTTCTAAATATGTTACACTTTGGTTAATCATTTAAATCAAAAGCTTTCTCCTTAGACACTTTTAGACACTAGATGAAATCACTTTCCTTTACATGCACTTACTGGTCAAAAGGCAGTTAAAAAACAAAACAGTTGTGACAACTTTCAGAACATCTCGGACTGCTGTGATTCTGTCCTTTTGTCTGTTATTGCTTTCCTCTGGGCTGGTTTTACTCCTAAAGGAATGAGGTCAACCTGAAACCTGTGTTCAAAACTGATTCTTTAGTCATTTTTCAAGACTGAATTTATCTTCCAGGTTATTTGTCCTTAAACAGGATTTTTGGGTGTGTTCACTTTGTCTCTCTCCCCCCTCACTCCTCCGTGAGAAAGTTATTTTAAGTGATAGAAATGATTTTTGAATATTTAGAGATCTGAGAAAAGACTGCAGCTTTCATTTCCACTAGTGTATCACATTTAACCTACATACATCAGCTCCTCTTCCTCCCCCCAGTCCTGCCTGCCCTTTCCTGCATAATCAAGCATCAGTGATCTGCTGGTCGGGTAGAAAGGAGTAATTTTTAATGACTACTAATGGGCTGTGGTTCTCAAACGGAAGATTTAGCTAAGATACCCATTACAAATTTTCTACGACGCTACCTACATGCAGTATCCAAGAACCCAGATAATCACTCAGGATGTTTCAAGACACTGACATTCTTGTAAAAGTGACTTAAAATAGAATGGGTGGGCCTCCAAAGTGAGTCCTCTAGTTGAGGAAGTCTGTCAAAAATTAATTTGGAGACCAGACGAAGGAGGAGAAGAATCCGTAATTCCACATTCATTTTTAGGGTGTCAGAGCCGTGTCTCCTCTGGCATGAGAAAGACTGCCTTGTAAAGCTTCCCTATTCCCTGCTGTCTTTTTTTCCTTTTCTTTTCTACCCCCTTGTCATAATCAAACCATACCTGCCAAGCAGCTTACTTACAACAGTGGCACGGTGCTGTTGGTGGCCAGACCATTAGCCCCTGGAGCTCCATAAGCAGCTTAATCAGTTTTCAGCCTCGGTAGTAAAGTGATGCAGGCATGGGCAGCTTATCAAACTCCCGTGGGCGGGGGCACCTCGGGCTCTCTGCGTCCATTTACTCAGCAGCTCACTAACGTGGTTCTTTGTGCCTGACTTTAAGATCCCCCAAACTTATCATATTTAGAGGAAGTTTAATTCAATTACTTTTTCTGCCTGAGGTGGTTTAAATTGAATTTAGCTTTTGATTTGTCTACATCTAGGCTATCAGTGCAGAAGGCCACCTTGGCCTCATCTTCCCTCATTTCTGAGTAAATTTCAGGCATGCTTTGTGGATCTGAACTGTTCTTGTAAATCTGGAGGGAACACCCAGGGGAAAAATAAAGAAAGGCTACTGCTTTCTGAGCGAGCTCGGCTCAGAAGTGGGTGCCGGAAGCCCGACCCAGCTGCCTGTGCCATTGGCCCTGGTCTGGTTGCCTCCTCACCCTGTGTCATGTCAGCTTCTGGAGTTTTAGAATAAATTATTTTTTCCCACTCGATTCCCCTCCTCACTCCTAAAATAAAGGTCTCTTATAAAAGCAAGTCTGTCTTATAAAATAACTATAGAAAAATTCACTTCAGCTTATAAATTGCAAGGGAGAGGAAGATAAACTAAAGCAAGTAACTGAAGAGTAACAAATCTTAGATAATATAAATATCTTTCCCAAAGACAGATTCCTTTCTACAAAAAATTCTCTTAAATGAATTTGGTTTTTCCCATTATCTTCTATTTTAAAAACAAAATGTAGACACCTTCCTCTCCAAAAAAGTAAGAAATCAGTAAGCATGGTATAGAAGAATCTGTAATGTACACACATCTAATCTTACATGATACAGTACACAGAACACTAATAATACCTCAAATAAATATACTGGAAGAATTCTGGCACCAGGGCCTCCCTGGTGGCGCAAGGGGTTAAGCACAGCACTATGAAGCTATCCCCAGCCTCTGCAGCACGAGTTCAGTCCCCGGCCAGGTAGCTGATTCCCATGGTGCAGCAGACCTCTCCTGTCTCTCCCGCTGCTCCCCTCAGCAGTGTATTTCATCAGTCTGCCTGTTCTGCTCCCCACTCTGTCTCTGGTGAATCCTCTCACCACCACCCCCACCTCTGGCCTGTTCCCCAGTTCTTGTATACATAAATAAATGTTGAAAAAAAGAATTCTGGCACCAAAATAAATTTGCAACTTCCTTATTTCTCTTGGGTTTTTACAAGGAACAGTCCCTAAAATTTTAGTAGGTAGACTCTATTCAACAATTTGGCTGAAGATTTCAAACTACTTTCTGCTTCCAATGTCACATTCAGGACAATGTGTTTCCCTCTTCTCGTTTGACCTCTGCGCATGCGTCTCCCTCACTGTGCGCCCTTGCTCGCCAACACGTACACAACAGGGTTTGGCACTGCTTAGCAAGGGAAACCCTCTGGTGGTTCTGGGAGCTGCACTCACCTGCCCACTGCCCAACAAGTCCCAGGTTATGCTGGTGCCTACTTGTCTATTTCACCAGTGATTAAGCTGCTCGCGGGGTTTTACTAGCACGTCATAAAGGTAGTAGTTAAACACCACTGGTCATTACCTGACTGTAATCAGTTGGCAGCACTATGGCATGGAAAATAGAGCCGAGTACACTCCTGGCCTGGAAGCAGGGCCAAGGGAGAAGAGGGGGGCAGAGGCCTTCCAAACCCTGGGAGCTTGGAGGTGCACTGACTTGAATTATCTCTTAAGTGTGGAATTTCTCTTCAGCAAGGTATAATGTTAGAAAAACATGAAGTTCATGCTCTTTGAGCATAGAGCTCACAAAATATACTGGTTTTCTTTTTTTAAAAAATCTATGTTAAAAATAAAAATCCTAAACTTTCTTTCAGGAGGTATAAATGCCCAGTGGTTTCTTCAGACTGACACAGCGGCTCCTTACAAAGGGTTGACAGACCTTGACTAAGTGTACATGAACCAATGCACAAGTATTGGTACATGTTTTCAGTGGGGAGACCAAGGCATTGCTTTTCAAGAGCTTTTTTCTAGGTTGATACTTCAAGAAGGGGAAATAGAATTTATGTTTATGTTCAGTTTATCAGGCATTTTCATCCATCCAGGGGAGGCGCTGTGACAGAATACAGTAAAAATCTATGCTCCGATGAGATCGCTGTCCACGCACTCACTTTCTGCAAGAGCTCTCCCTTTCCCTATCAGCTTGTGACACACCATCCCCTCACTCCCATCCGTCCCGTTGGCTCTTGTAACACAGATGAGACAGTTCCACATTGCACCATTAGAAAACAATGTATGTAAAATAATGTTCAAGAGGTTGTGGTTGCTCTGAAGGAGCAAATCAGAACCACAGTTCAGTCAGCCATTCCTTGGCTGGTGATCTGAGAGCTCTTCTAAAATTTTGGCTACCTATGCTCTTGTAACAAAACCCAAAGTGTTTATTAAGGACTAACTCTTCTGGTCTTACTTACCTTTGGAACATAAGTAAGCACAGAATGATCCTATTTGTAATGATTCATGAGAAAGGAGACCGGATGGTCCCATGGGTGAGGCACCTGGGGAGAACAGCCCCTCCCATCCACTCCCTTCACCACTACTACCTTTGCCCCCAACATATACACACACACACACACACACACACACACACACACACACACACACACACACACACAGAGACAGACAGACAGACAGACATGCAGGCTCCTTTAGGTCAATCTGAGAGCTGATCTCTACATTGTTTACCTTCCCTGGGCCCTAATTTCCAAACCACTCCCCACCTTCAGGTTAAAGTATTTAGATTCTAGTTAATATATGTTAGTAGGAAGAATAAATTATTTTTGCATAAATTTATCTGTCTTATTAATAGGTTGAAAGCACTACATGGTATTTGAGTGAGAGATTTCAGCAGATGAGTTTTAATGATGAAAAAAGATGGAAAAGTCTGGAATTTGGAGAACTTACTAAAGAGATGTCAAGGGGGAAAGGATGCCAAAGGGGAGGACTCACAGCATTCAAGAGCCATGAAAAGAGAGAGGAGTAACTCAGATGCATACTGCCTTTCTGGAGCCGCCTAGGACCGTCTGAACTGTTTACTTTATGCT